GATGTAATTACGTTGTATTAATCTTTTTATATGATCCACGCTATTACATGAAGATATTTCTGTATAATGACCTCGCTCAATACTTTTCTACTATTCTTATAAAAATGGTTCGAAATTGTTTTAAGCAAGTAAATCGTGATGAAATATAACAAAAGATTTTTATAAAATGTGCTGGAATAAAAGAACTCATTCTCATTAATAATTTAGGGTGAAATACTAATATATATGATATAGATAAAATAACTTTGTTGATATACATTAATAAAAAATGACGAAGGTCCAGCTGTAAAAATAGATTGTTTAATAAACTGTCAAATTTTAAGTAATAATTGAGAACATACCTACAATTCTGCATTTCGTAAAAATTTAATGACTTCAATTTCAAGAACACAGAATTATAAATAATTATTAAAGGTTACTTTAATTTATCAGTATGCCCTAGCATACTACCTTGCCACACAGTGTGGTAAGTTCATACATTTTAATTTCATTAAACAAACATTCTACATTTGCCTCGTGTGTACTTTTCCATTTTCATTTACAATGCATATAAAGCAAAATTAAAAATATATTTCAGTATATTTTTTATTGTATAAATAATTGGAATAAAACTTGTAAAATGTATGAGGTGCAAATTATAACAACATGGGGATGTTTACACTAATTCAAAGTCTTAGAAGCATGATAGGATTTTATTTGTTCGCCACAGATTGCTTTCGTTTACAAATATGTTCTACAGAACCGAAGAATGAGAAATATATGCGTGTTTCTTTACTTTGACCCCATTTCAGGTACGGGGGATCAAACTGTCTCTCAAAGATTGATATGTCAAGCGTCAATTTTAATATTTTATGTTTAACGTCGCAAATATTTTGAACAAAGTCTGTTGCAAAAGCTGTAATAAAATATATTGGCATATCTTTTATTAAATAAGTAATTCAAACAAAAATTGTACAAATTAGAAACTACAATATGTATTAACTTACTCCAGTCTCTCATACATTTTGTAAATTTATTCCCAATTTCCATCTAACGTTTTTAGTCCAAAAGTATATTGTAAATTAAACTGTCTATGTAAATTATAATATAATAGTAAGAGGGTCCTTGTAAAGTTATAGACTTTAATAAATAACTTTCTTTTTTCTTTTCATTATTTCTGATAAATTGTAGCAAAGGTGTAATGGTGAAGCATGAAGAATACAATTTATTCGATTCGACTAAATAATTGTAATAGGTAAATCATTCGTAAGCACGATCAAACAATAAAGCAATAAAGCAAAATTTGAATCAAAAACCTTGTAAAAAATATGTTATAAACAAATTGATGTTCATACACCCTTCATATGTTAGCGAAATTTTCATGTACTTAGGGTAGACTTTGAAATATTACATTGAAATATTTATCGAAAAAGTATAAAAGTACCAACTTACTTTTTTATTAATTGCCTATACTGTTTCCATATTTTTTTTACTGAAATTTTGTTAGGTTTTGTATAACCGCAACTATGTTTGAGGGGCGATTTATTTCCATACAGCAAAGGATCAAAATGGTTTCAATTAAAACTAAAATCATAACAGATATTCGTATACAAAGTTCCCATTGTACATTGCATACACTGAGCAATATTATATTGATTCTTTTATAAAGTGAAAATGCAAGGCATTTGAATATACTACGTAGGAAACATTTGTTTAATAAAGAATTTGTTCCCAATAATATAATTTAGCAATACGTTTTCCAATAATTATTAATATAAATGAAATTTTACATTGTAATGTAATGGTGTGTACAGTTTTCTAAAGTAAAAATGTATCTATTCATAAAAAGCTTTACCTTTTTATTAAAACGAGAAATCAGCCAGGATCAATCGGAAAATGTTCGTTTTATTATTTTCAAAAAAAGTGAAATAAAAAAATTGTATTCCATTTTGTAAAAGTATTAAAGGTTGTAGATTAAATACATATTGCAACATATTCGTGATGTTTCTCCGCATAAAATGATACCGGGGAAAAAAAATTTATATCAATATGAAAAATCGTGAAAACTGATGCGGTTATCTACACAACTAAATATTTATTTAAACGAAAAGTATCAAATCGCTTAGATAGATTTCATATAACTTTTGATGTCCATTTGATGAAATCATCAAATACCTCACAGAAATTAATATGGAATAAATCTATTTCTTCAAATGAAACCTGTATAAAACTAAAAATTATAAATGTTTGACGAATATTTCCATAGATGGAGCTTTGTCTCTCGTCTTGTATCCGCTTCCTATAAAATATCGTCTAACCTAACCTAATTATTCAGCTAACGTTAATAGAATGATTAGATTAGGTTAGGCTACATTTTATGGAGAGAAGATGCAGGAGAAGAGGTGGACCTTCTCCCCGCTCACGTATTTTGATTTCGAACTTTTTCGAGAACAGTTACATATTAACTGAAAATATTATGCTTTTATTTATTTCGGTAAAATAAAAAATTGTACAATTTCACGCTTAAAAAAAAATAACAAAACGTACCCTACTTTCCCGACCGCCCCGATCAATTTCACGTTTTAGTAAAAAAAAAAACCTAAAACAAATTGGAAATGGAACAGTATTTTTCACTGAATAAAAAATCGCTAAACAGTCAGCAAGCGGTAGATTTATTTTTCTTAGTGAGAGGTTCATGGTCTTATCAGTTTTTTTAATAGTTTGAGGGATTATTAAACACAAAACAATTTAGCAGTTTTGAAAATGCAAGTTCTGAAATCATTGTAAATTAATTTTATAATTAGATAACCTAGTATAATTATTGTTTACGGTAACGTCAGATATAAAAAAAACAACTGTTTATTTCTACACTTATCAGTTTCCTACATTCTGACTTATCAGATCACCCAGCACCTAAAATGGTGGTAATATACATATATGTATTTTGCCCTGAATTCATACATTTACATAACCTACTCAAGTAATTAAAAATAAAAGAACATATCGTTATCAAAATCATTAAACCGTGCTCAGTACAAAAATTTCATACGAGCAGAGCGTGGTTCATGATTCAATCAAAACGCAATCAAACTCAGCATCAATCTCGCGAAGAGAACGGACGTGACCGTACCGCTATCTCTCTTATCACCCGTCCCTCTGAAAGCTCGAAAGAACCAAGCGAGCGAAATTTCTCTCCTTATAAACTCAGATACGATTTCTTCAAGCGCGGAGCGTAGATTGTGCCCGTAGCAAAGAGTAAGATCGCGACGCGCCATCATCAATTTCCATCCCCTCGGCGAACTTATCCACAATGCTCCAACGATATTTCATCGTGGGCGAACTTCAAAATCTTTCGTCTATCGAAAAGACGGAACAGTTCTAAAACACATTTCCTATCTCGATCAGCGGCATTTCCATAATTCGCCGCGGGTCATCGGCATTCCAGGGTCAACCGGCGGTTTCTTTTCCGAAACGAACGGGCATCGTGACGCAGCATCGTCTAATCTTCAACCCCCAATCGCACACGCTGTGTCGAGTGACGCGTTCGCTCGGTCACCGTTAACGACACATATACATACATAGAGTGAAACACATACACAAATTCTAACGGACGAAACGTACAACCAGAGCGCAGGGAACGGGTCGTGCGCTCGCGCACCCTGCAGGGTCGTGGGATGACGGCGACGCGACG